AGGTTGTTTCCAACTCCTTGCTATTGTGAACAAAGCTGCAATAAACATGGGTGTGCATATATCTGCTTGGATGTCAGCTATGGTCAAGGAGAATGCTTTTAATCCTTCTCCGTTGAAAATGATATTGGCTCTTGATTTTGAGTATATACCTTTCACAATGTTGAGGAAATTCCCTTCTATTGATATTTTGCTGATTGTTTTACTCAGGAAGGGGTATTGGATTTTATTAAAGACCTTTCCTGCATCAGTTGCTAGGATCTTGTTGTTATTATTATTTGCTTTGGTAATATGATGAATTACATTGATTGTTTTTCTTAAGTTGAACCATCCTTGCATACCTATTATGAATCTCACTTGATCATGATAAATTATTTCTCTGATGTGCTATTGGATTCTGTTAAGGATTTTTACCTCAGTATTCATGAGAGATACTGGTCTGCAGTTTTCTTTTTTGTAATATCTTTGCCTGGTTTTGGTGTTAGGGTTATGCTTGTTTCCTAGAATGTAAAATCTGTGTTCTTAACCTCGGCCTATGCTCCTCTCAGTTGTGTGAGTGCGTGTGTGTGTGTGTGTGTGTGTGTGTGTGTGTGCGCATGCGCGCACGCGTGTGTACAAGGTTAGGATGATATTTCTTTTTCCCAGTGGCAGGTGATATTTTTAAGATAACTTATAGAGTCATTTGAAGCATTACCTGAAACACTAAAATGAACATTACAGCATTACAATTAGTAGTTTATAGTGACCTGTATTTTGAAAACTGGTGATTTGTGTGTGGAGCTTCTTGTTAGTAATCTGCCATTTAATTGGGAAGACTGTTGTTCTAACTATGATGCGGACGGGTATGGAGAGTCCACTGTGATCCTGCAGAATCTAGACCAAGAGGCTGTGGTCCACACAGAGCAAGGGAGCCCCACACAGTTTAAAATCGGGAAAGGTGTGCATCAGGACTGTCTCCTTTCCCCATACCTATCCAGTCTGTATGCTGAGCAAATCATTTGAGAAGTTGGACTTTATGAAGAGGAATATAGCAGTAGGCTTGCGGCAAGACTCATCAGTAACTCGTGTTACGCACCTGATATGACGTTGCTTGCTAGAATTAAAGAATACTTGAAATGCTCATTGCTGAAGATCAAAGACTACAGCATTCAGTAGTCCTCAGCCTTCAGTTGAGAGTACATCGCAACATCAAGAAAACAAAAATCTTCACTGCTGGATCAGTCAGTAGCATTGTAGTAGATAGAGAAAGATTGAAATTGTCAACAATTTCATTTTTACTTGGATCCACAGAAAACCATCCAGGTTAATAGAGGTCAAGAAATAAAAAAATGTATTGCATTGGGAAAATCTGCTATCAAGGACCTCTCCACAGTGCTAAAGAACAATGATGTCAGTTTAAAGAATAGGGTGTACCTTATTCAAGGCCTGGTCTTTTCAGTTGCTTGCTGTGCCTCTTAAAAGTTGGACATAAAGGTGACAAAAGACGAATCAACACCTTTGAGTTGGATGTTGGAGGAGAGTATGGAATATCCGATGGGCTGCTAAAAGAACAAACAGATCTCGGAGAAAGTGCTTTCAGCTTGCTCCATAGAGGCAAGGATGGTGAAGTGGGTTTTGTGGACTTTGGGTCTGTTGTCAGGATGGGCCAGTCCTTGGAAAAGAACATGATGCTGGAAAGATGGAGCATCAGAGAAAGAGAGGATGACCTTCACCAAAATGGGCAGGCACAGTGGCTGAGGAGGGGACTCTGTGAATCAGAGGCCACGAGTGCGGCACAGGAGAGGGCACCATTCAGACCTGTTGTCTGTAGGGACTCTGTGAGTCAGGCAACTTGATGGTACCTAATAACAAGAGTAATGGAAAATCATCCTTTTAAAGTGCTTTCCCTTTACTTTGTTAATTAAAAGGCATTTTAGACTTCATTTGGGAGGCTGTCATTCTGTGAAATCCCTCTGATGTTTTTGGACCTCTCCTGATTGGGGCCCGCCAGGTATTTCATTGTTCACCTGTTCATTCCTCCTTCATGCTCTTCTCTTTAGCCTCATTTGCCCTGGTCCTCTCGGTAGCTGGGTGACTATCAGTGCCACAGGATGTCCTGTTAACTTTCAGGAGTATTCGCTTCCTCTTAGCTTTCATTTATATTCTGCAGACACAGAGCAGTTGCCTAATGATGATGTTAGGGCCCTCAAGTCAATTATGAATCATGATGACTCCATAAAAGTCTTGATCACCTAGCCATTCACCACTATACCTGCCCACTTCTCTTGGCTAGTGCATTCCAGAAGTGTGCTGTTAGTGAACCCCAGCTCAGGAAACAAGGTTGTTCTTCATGTGATGACTCTGTGTCAAAAAAAGTGGAAACAGGCCCCCCCCGCAAAAAAATCTCACTCATATTTCTTGTTGATTTCCCCCCCATCCCCTATGGACAGTACACCCTACCTAATTTTGAACCATGCGGTATTTCCTTGCTCTGTGCTGACGACTGCCTCCTGGTCTAAGTATAGGTTTTGCATAAGCAAAATCAAGTGTTCTGGGATTCCCATTATTCTCAGAGTTAGACACAGTGTGTTGTGACCCACACAGTCAAATGCATTTGAATAGTTCATGAAACACAGACATTAACCTGCTACTCTCTGCTTTCAGCCAAGATTCCTCTAGCATTAGCTATAATATCCCAAGTACCATGGCCTCTTCTAAATTCAGCCTGCACATCTGACTGTTCTCTACGGATGTGCTGTTCAAGTTGTTTTGGGATAATTTTCAGCAGAACCTTGCTTTAATGGGATAGTAAGGATATTGTTTTATAATTTCCACACTCTGTCAGGTCACCTTTCTTTGGAATGGGAACAAATACAGATCTCTTCTAGTCAGCTGGCCAGGTGGTTTTTCTCCAGATTTCTTGGCACAACTTGGTGAGCACAGCCAGAGCAGCATCTGTTGAAATATGTCAACTGTCAATTCCTAGAGCCTTGTTTTTTGCCAATTCTTTCAGAGCAGCTTAAACTTCCTTCGTCACCACAGGTTCCTGATCACACTGCATGCTTCAAAATCAGGAAGGGTGTACCCCTATCTCCATACCTTTTCAATTTATATGCAGAACAGATCATCCAGGAGCCTGGGCTCTATGAGGAGGAATGTGGCATCAGGATTGGTGGAAGACTCATCAACAACCTGTATTATACAGATGACACAACCTTGCTTGCTAAAACTGAGGAGGACCTGAAGTGCTTGCTGCAGAATGTCAAAGACTTCAGTACTGATTGAAGCTCATCATCAAGAAAACAAAAATTCTCACCATTGGGCTGATTGACAGCATTATAATAGACAGTGAAGAGATTGAGATTGTTAACAGCTTCAGTTTGCTTGGCTCCACAATCAAAACTCTTGGTACCAGCAGCCAGGAAATCAAAAGATGAATTGCATTGGGAAAGTCTGCTGTAAGGGAATTCTCCAGTGTACTGATGTCAGTGTGGAGACCAAGGTACACCTGATTCAGGCCACAGTCTTAGCAATTACTTGCTATTCATCAGAAAATGGGACAATGACTAGGGATGATAGAAGGAGTATTGATGCCTTTGAGCTATGGTGCTGGAGAAGAGTACTGAATATACCATGGATTGCTATGAGAACAAATAGGTTCATCCTTGAGAGGGTGAAACCAGGTTGCACCTTGGAAACAAGGATTCTGAAGCTCCATCTGACATACTTTGGACATGTTGCAAGGATGGACCAGTCCTTGGAGAGAGGGACATCATGCTTGGGAGAGTGAAGGGACAGTGCAGGAGGGGAAGACCCTCAATGAGATGGATTGATTGAGTCACTGGTGTGGTCAGGGTAGGTGTGTCAGAGACAATGAAATTGCCTCAGCATAGAGCAGGGTGCAGAACTTTTGTACACAGGGTTGCTAGGAGTCACAAGCCACTTGATAGCACATAACAGCAACAACATGGTCAGCAAACTACCGCCTGTAAGCCAAATGCAATCTACCTCTGTTTTTGTAAATACAGTTTTATTGTGTTCGTGCTTCCTTGCTTGCTCATTTAATTGCTGTTCATGTCTCACTGGTTTTGTACTACAGTGGTAGAGTGCAGTAGTTGCCACAGAAATCAAATGGCTCACAAATTCTGAAATACTCACTCTCTGGCCCTGTAAGAAATATCTTCTTGAACTCTGTTCTGTGGGGTTAGGACAGCACCCCATGTGTGAAAGACCCCCCATTCACTGATGAGTGCAGGACTTCGCCAGAGTGCAGAAGTGCAAAGATGTCAGTCTAGAGACTAAGGTGTGCCTCATCCAGGCCATGGTCTTCACAATTACTTATTATTTATCAGAGAACAGGACAATGAATAATCATGTCCGAAAAAGAACTAATGCCTCTGAGATGTGGTGCTGGAGAAGAGTGTTAAATGTACCGTGGACTGCCAAGAGAACAAACAGGGCTAACCTGGAGAGGGTGAAACCAAGTTGCTCTCTGGAGACAAGGATTTTGAAGCGCTGTCTCATATACTTTGGGCATGTTGCCAGGAGGGGCCAATCCTTGGAGAAGGACATCATGCTTAGAAAAGTGGTGGACAACACAGGCGAGGAAGACCCTGGTTGAGATGGGTTGGCACAATGACTGGGACAACTAGGGGCAGGTGTGTTGGATATGGTGCGGTTGGTCCAGAATAGGACAGGGTTCTGAGCTGTTGTGCAGAGGGTCGCTATGAGTTGCAGGCTACTTGACAGCACATAACAAAAACAGAAATGTAACTTGAGTTTTGGATGTTTTAATGTGACCTCCTTTCACCCTCGGTTATTATAAGGTAGTATTTAAATCTCTAGTTATTATAAGGTGGTATTTCAATCCCTAGAGTAATTTCTAAACTCTTGTGTGTTCGTCAGCAGCAGCAGCAGGATGTTAAACATTTCGCGGAGAGAGATGGTCTCTTTCTTTACAGGCGGTAACAGCCCGTCGGCCAACTGGAGCGGTGTGCTTTGGTCTCCACTCCATAGCAATGAGAGCTATCTACAATGTGTGCTTTCCTGTAAGTTTGCAAATCTGCTTAGAATCAGTCTTTCTTTCTCTGCAGCCACTGGCTCGGAGCCCATGTGCTGGTCAAGCTTCATGACCAGTAGCATGCAGCTAGCCAAAGAGTGCCTCGGCCAGAGACTGAGCGACGAGCAGGGAGAAGGCGGCCAGCCCTTCGAAGGACTGGAGAAGTTTGCAGAAACCATTGACACAGGTGGGTACTGCTAAGCACTCCCATTGTCAGATGTACAGAACCCTCAGTCAGTCCACCTGGGACAGTGCACAACCACGGTGGACTGTTCCGAGCACCCTGTTCTCCCTTCAGAGCCGTAGCCTCGAGGGTTCTCTGTGTACTTGTGTGGTGTTTGGGTTTTACTCTTTCATCCTCTCTGTGATGAAGGGACCGCAGTTCACCAGTGGCCTTGGACTTGGCCTTGGCCTTGTCTATGTTGCCTGTTGTCACATACTTGAGATGAATGCTTGGCAGCACAGGACCTGTGATCAAACACAGGATTTGGGGTTTCAAAGAAAAGACATTTCACCTGTTTTCCCCTCTAAGCTTTTAGCAAACTAATGTAGTGTTTATTCTTTTAATTAATGGTTTTGTTAAACATTTAAGTATGATTGTGTTGAGCGCTGCCTCTCTGCTCTAGTACTAAGAAGAGTGAAAGTCACGTTCCTGGACACCGTTTTGAGAATCGAGCATGTCCCAGACGACTCGCAGTCCGGAACCGCGCTGGAGATTCGGATAGGAAGGTGAGGCTCCTTGTCAAGAGAAAAGTACCATTGCTTCCTTTCGTGAAGGCCAAAAACCTAAAAGACAGTCCAACAGTGACCTTTGATTTCAGGGTGCATTTACACATCAGAGGTGATGCTAGTACTGACCTCCATATTATGGTTCAATCCTGTCATTGAAAACTTGAAGTGCCAGTTGGAGTGTAATTAAGAATTTACTACATTCAGTTCAAAGCAAGTAATGCTCTTTTAGTTAATGTTGTGTTCACACACCCACACCCACACCCCCCAGCCTCGGTGCTGACGTGAAGTCATCCCTGCTCACCAGAGCCTGTTTGCACGCTGTCTCTCGCTCACTCACCTCACTCACACACCCACCTCAGCCCAGCCGAGCCCAGGTGCTGACTTGAGCTCCCCCCTCTCACCAGGCCCCCACTCTGTCTGATTCACTGCAGAAAGCAGCAGCAGGGCCGCGTACACTGAGGACCAGATACTGTGCAGGTGCGACCTGGGGACCTTCTCAAATGTTAAACAGACAAGTTTTGAAACAGGAGTTGGTTTACTGAAACAATTATTGTTGAAAGATCTTTGAAACTGGGGTGCATTACCTTAATGGTGTAGAAGACTATCTGACATCCCTCCTGCTGGAACTATGACAAGGAGTCGAACACCGGCGTTCCAGGGGGCTCTTCCGGCAGATTGGAGAACAGCACGCTGCCTCGGTTACCAAGAGCTGTTCCGTGGGTACCATGAGCATTGTTTTGGGTTTTTATTTTAAGCTTCTTCTAGGAAGTTGGGAGTTTCCCCCACGCTTTTTGGGAGTTAAGGCTACTCTGTGGGAGGATTTCCTGCAGTAAGGTGATGTGTGGTGATGCTGGCCCACATGCGAGGCACATTCTGGATGGAATCCCTGTGATTTAAAACTCTGTGTGTGTTCTTATAATTGTGAGTCGGTTTTCCCAGGAGGTGCATGCAGTTCCTTTTCCCATTTGTTACTTTCAGAACCCTGTACTGTGATGAGGCTGCCGGTGAGTCCTCGGGGACAAACGTGCACCAGCCCACAGCCTTCGCCCACAAGCGGCTGCAGCTCTCAGGGGTGTCTCTCTTCTGGGAGGAGTTCTGTGCATCAGCCAAGTCTTCCCCAGTGTGCTCAGCTGTGCCAGCGGTGAGGAGACAGCCAGCCGGGGTGGGAGGGGAGGGGAGGAGGGACAGGAGGGAAGGGGGGTTGGGAGGGGAGGGGAGGCGCGGGGACAGGCTTACCTGAGGCCTGCTCGTGGTGCAGGGACATGGCGTGTGCATCTTCATCATCACCCTAGTTCAGTGCTGGAGACAGACATTTCAGAGGTTTTAAAACCTATTTAGAATGAATGCCTTTTCTACCTGTTTGTGGTGTATTCATTTGATAGGGAATCCTTGGATACAATGTTGTCCTGAGGGAAAGTGTGGTATGATATTCTTTCACAGAAATAAAAGTGAGGAAGTGAAACAGTGTGTACACTTACCTTTACCCAGTGAATGTGTTCCCAAACACTGAGCTTATCTAACTCAGGAAGCTGGTCCTGACCCCTTCTCGGAGCAGAGTCCCTGTGCCTTGCTTTGACCTTTGTTAGTGGGTGTGGCTCACGGGTCAGATTCTCCTAATGACAGCTGATCTGTTGCTTTCCAGTCGCTTTGTCATGGCCCGGCGTCCATGCTCTTCTTGGTCCCAGTGTGCTGTGTAGGGACCCCAGGGCCTTGGGCTGCTGAGACCCTTCCTTCCTGTCCCCTGGAGTTCAGTCTACAAGCCATGTGCTGGCTTTTCTCAAGATGGAACTTCTGTTTTGCATTTAGATTTATTGACTTTTGAGTGTTTAAGGAATTGCTTTCTTGTTCTATTATTGTAGGAAACTGAGCCAAAGCTGTCACCCAGCTGGAACCCCAAAATTGTGTATGAGCCTCACCCACAGCTAACACGAAACTTGCCGGAGGTGGCACCTTCCGATCCCGTGCAGATTGGCGGGTTGGTTGGCAGGCTGGAGTTGAGTCTCACCCTGAAGCAGAATGAAGTACTTCCCGGGGCGAAGGTCAGTATCTTTGTATTTGCCTTAGTCACACCTCAGTAGAGTTGAGTGCGTATAAGCCCACTGACTGTGGGAATGCTTGGTCCCTGGATGCCGTTGCCTCGGGACCAGTGCTTCACCCTGGGCTGGAGCTCTGGCCTGCAGTCAGGCCACCACTGGGGCTGCCTGTGAGAGGAGGCTGTGGAGCTGCTGCTGCCTCCCTCAGCCCACAGCCCTGCCATTCCCAGGCAGCCCTCATCCGTGTCAGGCAGGATCCCACCCCTGCAGATGCCCAGGGATGTTCTTGACCCTCTCTTCCTAATGGCCTCAAATGATAACATTCAAGGAAAACCTGGAAGGGAAGTGGTTGACTAAAGAAGACTTTAGCAATATAAACAATATTTATTTACCCACAGGTTAATTCTTATAATGGCTAGAAAACATTTAGGAAAGGAAACAATTTGGGGTTTTATTATCACCTATAGCTTTAATATGATATATCCTATAGCTGTCCTAGATATGCTTACCAGGTTGTGCCAGGAAAGCTGGAGGACATCCACCTAGCCAGCTGACTGGAAGAGATCCATATTTATTCCCATTCCAAAAACAGGTAACCCAACAGACTATGGAAATTACCGTGTAATATCATTCACATCACATGCAAGCAAAATCCTGCTGAAGATTATCCAGAAATGACTGGAACAGTATATTAACAGAGAACGATCAGAAATACAAGCTGGAGGCGATCTCTGGTGGCCTAGTGGCAAGAAGCTGCACTGGAATCCTAGAGATGTGAGGTTCAAATCCACCAGATGCTCTGCCGAAGGAGGAGGGACAGTCTCCTCCTGTACCAGTCAGATCTGACTTGACAGTACACACATTAAAAAAAAAAAGTAATAAAAATATTTAAAAAAAAAGACTTTAAGAAAAATAAAGTTTATTTTAAAAAAAGAAATACAAGCTGGAGGTGGGGGGAGAAAAGAAATATAAGCTGGGTTTAGAAGAGGCCATAGTACTAGAGACATTATCGCCAATGTCAGATGCATCTTCGCAGAAAGCAAAGAGTATCAGAGGGATATCTATCTGTATTTCATTGACTGTGCAAGGGCATTTGACTGTGTGGATCACAACAATTTGTGGTTAACCTTGAGGAAAATAGGAATCCCAGAACCCTTGATTATGCTTATGTGAAACCTATACTTGGACCAGGAAGCAATCCTCAGAACAGAGGAGGGAAACACTCTGTGGTTCAAAATCAGGAAGGAGGTGCATCAGGGATGTGTCCTGTCTCTACACCTTTTCAATCTATATGCGGAAAAGATCATTCGGGAAGCAGGGTTTTATGAGGAGAAATGTGGCATCAGGATTAGAGGAAGATTCATCAACAACCTGCCTTATGCGGATGACACAACCCTGCTTGTTGAAACTGAGGAGGACCTGAAGCACTTGCTGCTTAACATCAAGAACTGTAGTCTTCAATATGAATTGAAGCTCAATGTCAAGAAGACAAAGATTCTCATCACTGGACCAATTGGATGAATGAATGAATGAATGGAAGGGAGAAGAGATGGAGGTTGTTAACAGTTACAGCTTGCTCGGCTCCTCAATCAATACTCTTGGCACCAGCAATCAGGAGAGCAAAAGACAAATTGCATTATATAAATCTGCTGGCATTGAAAAACAAGGAACTCATGCAATATTATTCAAAATGGGTGACCCTGGAGGACACTATGCTGAGTGAGGTATCTCAGTCACAAAGGGACAA